TTTTCTAGTTTTACAAGGTATTTTTGAATTCTGTTTCTATCTTCCAATGTGCTAGCTATCCCTCCCAGTTTTGTATCATCTGCAAATTTGATAAGGATTCCCTCCACCCACTTGATACATTACTTTTGAAATATGATGTAATTGTGACCTTGTCATAAGAAAGGGCTCTAGGTATAGGTAGTTATTTATAACTCACTACATCCAAGCTCTGGCTGTGATTGCTTAGCAGAGAGTTGGAAAGGATGCTGGCTGATGTCTGAAATTGAGGAAGTCTCCCTTTTGTCTAGTCTTATCCAACTAATATAGATAAGGAATGTGTATGCTCTTTCCAGACGATTTCCAATTTGACTCATAGCAGGGCTGAGTCATCCTGCTACAAACCAGAAAACACACAACAAGAGGGTTTCACAGCAAACACAGAAACAATAGCAGGGAGAAACAGACAATATAATGAACTATATTACAACACTGTCCCAAAGGAATGAAACCACAACTCTACCATATATACAGTGATCATATATTTATATGTAAGTAACCACATTACATATATATTGATATTGATTGATTTATCAATTATTGGAACAGAGGTTGTTAGGACCAGAGGCAGCACAGTGGACAAATGGCCTTTGCAGACTGCCAGAAATAGTGCACATTAGATTGAGGCACTGCCCTGGCTCAGTGCTAGGGAGTCCTGGGAATTGTATTTTTTTTTTCTGAGATATTGAGCCTTCTCTGTCAGAGAGCTCTGGTGCCACAATAAATTACAGTTCCCATGATTCCTTAGCCCTGAGCCAGGGCAGTGCCTCAATTTAATGTGCACTATTTTTGGCAGTCTGCAAAGGCCCATAGTTTGGGATATATAATTCCCTATAGTACTTTGTATTGTGTATTCTGTGTTTTGTATTATTACTGCAATGTGGTTACTTACGTATAAATATGTGATCATTGTATATATGGTAGAGTTGTGGTTTCATTCCTTTGGGATAATATTTTTCATTGTATTGTCAATTTCTCCCTGCTATTCTTTCTGAGCCATTCTGCTGCCAGAGATGAAGGGCCCAGGGGTGGTGCCCTCCTCTGTTTCTATACACAGAGGCTAACTAGACTAGGAGTTGAATCTTACTTTAAGACTAGTGAAGAGAAAGCATCCTTTAATATACCTGAGAAAGCCACAGGTTATTTCAGTGAATGCAAGGCAGGTCATAGGATGCACACTCCTCTGTCTTCCATCACCTTCCTGCTGCTCCTTGCCTCCAACATTTCGTACCGGAGATGGCTGTCCCATGCAGCCTAATGGTAGGACCAGCCTGTGATGATATCTGTGCCTTTCACAATGCAACACTGCAACATAGGTAGGTCACCCATTCAATCGAAATTTTTGCAAGGGCTGAAATGTATGCCATGAA